TATATATATATATTTATATACACATTATATTTAATTTTTTAAAGTACAAACGATAGTAAATGAATGATTTTAACTTTTGCATTTCATTTCATTACGTTCATTACGCGAATGAAGAAAAGAAGTGATTATTTTATATAATTATCATTTTGTGATTAGAGTATGATCGTTACGCGTCCCAATTTAAATGCATTTTTACAATGGAGCATAAAAGAGTGTTTTATGTAACATAAATAGATTTTCCATGTACAAAGCTGTCTTTACTACAGATAAATTACTTATATATTTTGTTCTCTCTTTTTTTTTTTTTATAATATTCGCAGTATTAATCGAAATGTCTACCGTCCAAAGTGCGTTTAACACTTTTTTTTAGATTTATTTTATTTTCACACATTTGTTTGTGATTATTTTACAGATTTTTTTTTTTACATGATCTGCAAACTCACTGTAGAGTAATATTAATATAGCATTAAGGATAATAATTGTAATAACAATAACAGCAGAAATGATAACGATGATGATAAAAATTGTATACTAATAGTAAGCATGTAATACAAAATGAAAATGTACATAAGTCATTTTTATACGAATAGTACATTTCGTTATTTCTTGCTATTAAATCGATAGTACAACGATCGTATTGAAGAAAAGACATGCATTTTTCACGTTTCTGTATGAATAAATCGCTAATAAATACAAATATAATACTCAAATTTTTGAAACAAGAAGAGGTATAATGATCTGAAAGAATATGTCTTTTTTATATTGAGAACGAAATTAAATAAAAATAAATCATCTGTACGTTCTTGTGTTTTTTATTAAGACATTTTTGGTGCATAATGCACGTTTTAAAAATTGTTAAAATTTTCAAAAAATCGAGAAAAAAATCAACAACAATTTAAATCTTAAACATCTTCTACTATAAATATTCAATTACTTACCGATATTTTTTACGAAGCATTTACTTGATAGACTTGCCTCGTCGGGTGACGTTGCATCCAAACATGCGAAACATAGCTACAAGTTTCTATAAATCAGTATTATGTGGGAGAAATTCGTCATATTGCAAATGTACTTCAATTTTTTAAATCAAGTACGGAAGAAAGCGATGAATGTTGAACAAGTGAACTTTTAGGCACGTAAGCTGTATTTACACGTGTACTTGTCAAAAACAACTGGTCGAAATATTTAAACATTAAAATACAATAACTTTCGTAAAAGAATTCGCTACCTCCAGAGCAATGTTGACTTCTTCTCGCGTATAGAAGACTTTTACGCGATACGTGTCCCCTCTCAATATCTACATTTTTGTCTATCCTACATTTAGAAGGTAATATCGCTAGAGCAGTCTATAAATATACATACAAATGTCTCCTGTCTTCAATAAGTAAAGAATCTCAGTGCGTTTAATAAAAGTGTCTTTTTAATATCACTCGTGTCTTTTTTTCCGGATTGCTCTTCGTTTGCAACTATATAAGTCGCATTTCATTCATCCGCCAGTCTAATAACTCATTTTTCACGATTGAACCTGCAAAATACGGCCAGATAACAAGTAATATCGAATATAAATCAATTGTCGTTTTCTTTACTTTCTATCGAGAAATCTCGCTACTTCCTCGATCGCAAGTCAAAATCTAAAACAAGAAGCTTGTAACAACTCTTTGGGACTGACCGATCGTATGTACATAGCGCGTTCCGAGTAACAAATTCAACATTTAATTGACTAAAACAGAGACGAGCGCGAATTAATAGAGATAGCGATTTCTCTTAAGTATGTCGTGCTATTTTTCAAACACGCTTCGTACAATATCGAGATAAATTCATATCAGCGTTTTTTTTCTCTCAACATTAAATAAATGTTACAGCGTGTCAGAGAGAGAAAGGATTGTATCATTTGTTTTATAAAAATCATCGCACAACGAAATATTATGGTACAAAATATTTCAAGTACCACATTTGAGTAATTCACCGCTAAACACGGTAATAATATTTAACATAATGCGAAGACAGTATCTTCGGAAGTTGTTTTCTCCTCTTGTTCACTTTAAGATATTTATTTTTCCATAAATTCATTTCTTTATTCAAAACAATTGAATGACAGTTAGATCGCTTATCTTTCGATCGTCAAAAATTGTCAAAGTTATTAGGAGAAAAATATTTTAACAAAAGATAATGATTTGAATCTAATTAAAATTTCAGGTTTTTAATAATTTTGACTATTTTTCAAAGTTGAAAAACGTATTTCAACTATCATCTAATCACTTATTCAATTGTTTTAAAGAAATAAATTTAGATAAACACAGACATCTTAAAATGCAATTTAAAATAATATAATTGTGGTACGTACATACATATATACAGAATAATTCTTAATATAATACTTCAGCATAACTCTAACATCTAAAACGGGAACAAATGTTAAATGTAATGATAGATTGTTTAAGTTTTTTCCGAATTATAATAAATTATTTTAAAAATGTTCCAATATTGGAATATCTCTTCGTTAACTTGTTGTAAAATGAAAAAAAAAAAGACTTAAACGATCTATATTCATACGATACTTTTTTCTTGTTTCTATACTCATTATCTGAAGTATGGACTATAGTATTAAGAATCGTTCTGTAAATTACACATTTATAATAAATCGCGAATCCTTAGATATATTACGATCTCTTTGAGCGTCGCGTTAAATCACTTGGAACACGCACGGTGAATACGCATGAGTTTCTTAGTTGGCTTCATACTTACGCAAATACCTCCGGAAAGTCAACATATATATAATAATTTATTCATTATATTACAATAAATCGTTCTACATAATGGAGAAGAGAGCGATTGTTACACGCCGAGTTTCGAAAACACGGCAGGAAGGAGTGGCGTGGTGAAACTTCCCCGCCGATCCCAACGACAACGAGGTTTGCTCGTCAACGATCGCCAAAGACGACGAGATAGCGACGAGATAGCGTATCACTGATATGCACGAGGGAGAGGGCTTTGGATTTAATTACAGTCGCTTAAGTACACGTGTTCCACGTACACGGGCGGTGGAACCCCTACGGATGGGGCCACTAGGAGGCCGAGGTATACCAGCCGTTCGTCGTCGATTTGTTGCTTGGGTGGTAGATGTGGAAGCCGGCACTACTGGCTGGATGATGGTAGAACTGTGGTTGTTCCGTCAGACCTGCCGAGGCGTATGCCGCTGCGGCGTCTAAGGCACTCGGATGGACAGTAGCCGAGTACACTTGAGGTTTTAAGGGTAACGGCTGGGCCGGTTCGTACTGGTGCCGAAGAACGGGATCCGTGTACGCCGACGAGCTTTCGTAACTACTTATCACGTTCACGGGATGCAACTGCTGCTGCTGCTGCTGCTGCTGCTGTTGCTGTTGTTGCTGCTGCTGTTGCTGCTGCTGCTTGTCTCGTGGCGAGACCGACGACGGCGGTGTCATCGCCGAATGATAGTCCACCGAGTAGCCAGCCGCGGTAGCAGACGTGTACGATGAAACTAGACTGGTGAAAGCATCAGCGCAACTGGTGCCGTTCGATCCTTTTTGATTGTGAGCGGCGAGTACAAATTGGTGCTCGCCATACGTGCTGGAGCCTTCTGAGCCTGGCGGCGTGGGCAGAGGTCCATTAGGGGCGGTTTCACCCGGATAATAGATACCGGCCGATGTAGGAGCACGCGTACCGCCGCTTGATGTGATTCCGTGTACATTAGCACGTATCACACTCTCCCGATTGGCAGCGTAAAGTTGCCTAAGGAGTGCTGAGGCGGGTAAAGGAGCGGTGGCGGATTGTTGTGGACTGAGGTGTCCCAGATGATGATGCGCGCCGATCCACTGTATCGTACTCCGCTGCTGCTGCTGCTTCAGTAACGCGTCCGTGCTGAAATCTGTCGGCTGATGAAGCGCTGCCGGTGAGTTCGATTTATTTAGCGAGCTCCCCGGGAGGTGTTTCGACATAGCCTGCTCCAGATCCTTCACTGAGGTACCCGTGCTCTCGGCACTGTCCATTCTGTTGCCCTCGGCGCGACGTGATTTTGGACTGGTTGAACAGAGCGCTTGTTCGGTGGTCGACATCGAATGTGTGGATGTCGCGCTAGGGCTGAGCGCGCGAGTTCTTTCACCATTCGATTCTTTCACCGCAGGCTCCTCCTCATCCTCCTCTTCGTTGGAGCTGCTGTCGTCGTCATGAATTTTTCGCTTGTGCCCTCGTAATCTTACTACGAGCGTGCCGAGATTCCCGACCGCCGTCTGCGAATCCTGTTGCAACTGAGCTATATTTTCGTGATGTCGACTACCTCGCTTCTCACTTTCCGATGGATGGCTCTCTTCCCGCTCCTCAGGTGGTGACCGATGCGATTGCTCCTGATGTTGATTTGTAGGGCCGCCTCGACTACGACCCTCTAAAATCAAAAGTCGCAACGAATTATTGCCTCAAGATGGAGGAAGATGAGAATTCTTTCCAGAATCGACTAACTGGGGAAATGTACTTTTTGTTAAATCATAGAATGTTTTGTACCTCCTCTGTCAGCGTCCGGCGATCCATTCTCCGGATCATTCCCGGCCGTATCTTCCCTTTTGACACCGGTGACACCGTCCTCTAACTGACAGCAGTCCATTATTAAATTTTCGTATTCTCGGCCGCTATAAAAAAGACAATTAAACACAATAAGATTTGAAAAGTGAATTCCTTCGTTCGTTACTCATTTGTTTGATGACTCACCTTATGACATAATTGACGCAAATGATATTTTGCTCGTCGGCATTTTTCGAATTGCACACAACGGTAGCGCACGTCTGTAGCCACGTGTACCCGCCACTCTTGTTCATCAGCCGATAGTAATGCGTCAGCACTTGTCCTTTATGGATCACTAAAATCACAATCGCAGTTAAGAATTTTTTTTCCGATTTATCCGCGAAAACATTAACTAATTAAATTCTCTTATTTTTTTAAGCACTTCATAGCTTTTTGGAAGTACTATGTGATTAACGTCGAAGCTACCGTTTGTACGACAATGAAGGAAAAGAAAGACATTCCATCATATACATCGGGAATGCGATTCTTGAGCAACCGTTTGTTTGCTTTCAGGTAAATGTTCGATTCCATCTCTGTATAATGCTCTTAGAAGTGACATCCGTAATCTGTCCCGCCAAAAGATAAGTCGTTCGTTAAATAGATTTTCTAAATCTTTCGTAAGCTAATCATGATAAGGATCATATCGACAATTTTCTGTATAATTATCTTTGACAATGACAATGTGCTCGTTTGTGTCGGGGAATAGTTTGTCGCTGTCCGAGGGATCGAATCGAACGAAGACACGTTAGAGTATCGCGACGATGTCGTATATTTTGTTTTGTAAAAAATCAAATCTTTATATATATAT